TTCCATCTTACACCTGTCAGAATGACCAAGAACACTAATGACAACTTATGCTGGAGAGGCTGGGTGGTAAAGAAAACAGTCCTCCATTGCTAGTGGTAGTACAAATTGGTACAGCCCTTTGGATATCACTATGGCGATTTCTCAGAAAATTAGGAAACAACCTTCCTCAAGACCCAGCAAGACCACTTTTGGGTATATACCCAAAGGATGCTCTATCATACCACAAGGACATATGCTCAGCTACGTTCATAGCAGCATTGTTTGTCATAGCCAGAACCTGAAAACAACCTAAATGCTCCTCAACTGAAGAATGGGTAAGGAAAATGTGGTACATTTACACAATGGAGCAATACACAGCAGAAAAAAAGACATCTTGAAATTTGTGGGCAAATGGATGGATCTAGAAAACTCATATTGAAGTAACCCAGACCCATAAAGACAAATATCATATGTATTCACTCAGAAGTGGCTTTTACACATAAAACAAAGAAAATCAGCCTAAAATTCACAATCTAAGATAACGTAGACAACAATGAGGACACTAAGAGAGACATAATGGATGTATTCTCCATGGGAAGTAGAAAAAGACAAGATCTCCTGAGTAAATTCAGAGCATGGGAACCATGGGAGAGGGTTAAAGAAGAGGGGAGAGAAAGGGAGAGGAGAAAAGAAAAATGTATAGCTCAATAAAGTCAATATAAAACACTAGATACTACTTAAAGCACCACACACAGATTGCGAAAAGCATTGTGTAATATTTGAGGAGTCTGGATGTTCTTGCTGACATTCTGAGTATTTACAGATGTGTAAACAGAAAAGTTAACAAGAGGTCCATTTTAGAAGAGTGCTAGAAATCAGGGTGAAAGTGCACATCCAGGTCATAAATGGGAAACTTTGATGGATGAAGAAGGCTTGAAGACAGTGATGGGGTGGGGAGGAAATGGGGAAGATTAGCATTCAGAATGAGTAAAGATAAAATCATCAGTATCTTAGCCAACAGCAACACAAAAATGATACATACTCCATTCATGCGTCTCCTGAGCAGAGATCAAACCTCCTGAGTAGTACACAAAATATCACATGGCATTTAAATGTTCTCTTTAAGAGCTGTAGTTACAGTGTTAACTATTTGTAATAATTTTTTAATATTTTTTAAGATTTTATTTCATGTGTCTGCGTGTGATTAGATGTACTTGAGTTCAGGTGCCTGTTGAAGCTACCTATGGAGTTGGATCCGTCGGAACTGGAGTTCCAGGCATTTGTGAGCTGCTGACATGGATTGTGGGTACCTAACACAGGTCCTCGGCAAGAACAGTTTTTGTTCTTAACACTGCATTGCACCTCCAGCCTCATGTTCATGCTTTTAAATAGATTTTTTAATCTGGCCTTTATTTGGTGTTAATATTTCCTTTGGTTTTATATTTACCATTAAATATTTGTTTCAAGGAGAGATCATGTTTGCATATAATTTTACCTAAGTAATAGTAAACCATTTATCTATTGTTATATTTTAAACAGAACTTCTCATTCTTTTATTTAAGAAATTATTCACTGTTATTGTGATCCTTCTTTTAAGATGTATAAATCATAAAAATACAGACTGATTTATGATATTTGACATTCTTATTACTCCTGTAAAATCCCAAATATTGACATCTACTGAGAATTTAAGGTACTCGAGGCTTTTCTACCTTTCTCAACCAAGTTTTTAAGGATTTCATATACGTGTGCGTGCGCGTGTGTGTGTGTGTGTGTGTGTGTGTGTGTGTGTGTGTGTGTATAGTCCCAAGAAATATCGGTGTAGATATAGCACCAGACAGCATCCTGGTCAGGTTAACATGCAGGGTCTCATTCGGTTCTCACAGGTCGAGGGGCTTTTCTAGTTCCAGATGAGGAAGCTAAAACACACATCACCAAGCAGGTCCTCATCGCTAGTAGGAGGCAGAGTCTACCTCCCAAACACAAGACTCTGCTAATGCAATCTTGACCCAGCCCGATGTGGGCTCTGTAACTGAGAAGCACAGATAGAATTGGGAAGAATCACGTGTACTTGTTTCTGTGATCCTGAGGGGCCTGCTAGGCCGCATGTACCGCCTGTGTGTGACCCAGAGCATGCGCAAACCAAACTGCGATTGCTACCCTCTCACCTTCCCACACTGTAGCTCCCCAAATCACATGTCCATGTTTGGAAGAAGGAAGATCAAAGGGACAGCTCCCCTCATCCTTCATGTCAGCAAATTGCTCCTGTACAACACAGGCCTGACGGGTATCAGGGTGGGATGTGTGCTTGTTTGCTGCAGTCTGGTGTTTGCTGAGGGCTGGCTCCTAGCTCAGCTTTCCTGATTTGCTGCTTCTTAATCCTTCCTTATCAGTGTGTGTGGTGTTTGTCCCATCTGTCACCTGATTACATCTGAGTGAGCTGTACCATGGCACATCAGCCCCATTGAGCCACGTTTTTTAGGGCAAATGCAAATGGTGTCTGTATCTGGACACACACACACACAAAGACAAAAAAAAAAAGGAGGATGGGTGGCCTCAGCTTTTTAAAAGTGACTTTACAGCGGCGTCCCTTGGAGTTGACTGCTGTGTGCATGCCCAAGTGCCGCTTAGAGCAGCTGTTGAAAATCCCCCTAGTTGTCTCTGGGGATGTCAACAAAATTAGTGGTTTGATGTGAACTGATTGAATTTTTAGAGTCTTGGGCCTTAAGAGGAAAAATGGAAGAAAACCAGTAGCAGCATGTGGGATTGTAGGGTTGGTTACCCTGGAGCTGGTGCCTTTGCTGCCTGGAGGCTTTGGGATGACTGAAGGAGGAGTTCTGCAGATGGTTGGTTTGTTATTCCAGCAGTGCTGGCCCGTTGAATGGTGAGGTGCTGTGTTTGGATGCACCTGTGTAGCTTTAAGTCCCTTACTGGAAGGCAGGTGTACTTGTGAGGGTTGTGCTCTCTGGACCTGGGCAGATCTGATTTGAGAGACTACTTTACTTGCATACATATGTTGTCAAGCCTACTCTGAGATTGCTCAGTTTTGGAAAGCAGAGAACACAGAACCTAAGCATGTTATGAAGATTAAATCAGCATACACACACAGGCACACACACACACACACACACACACACACACACACACACACCAGAAAAGGAAATAATGTGTGCAAACCTAGCAACCATTAAGTACATTGACTTAGAAAGGTGTCAGAGTGTCCGATGTAGCATGGGTCCTGCTACCACATAGGTCGTAAAATGTCCTCTGGGAGTGCCTTCTTCAACCAACCCGTGCTACACAGTGCATTCCAACAGAAATGGAAAATACCAAGTCTCTCTCCCTTATCTGGCCTGTGATACTGATGTCACCCCAAATATGTTGGATGATTCCAGCTTTCATGAACACGTCCCACTGCATTGTATTTGAAGGCTTAGACAACCCTGACAGCCTTGGTATATGGGGACCTGTGTATACCCCATACCTTATATTCTATTCAATTTCCAGCTGTTCTTTAGGTGGCCCTCCCTTACGCACCCTAAGCAACCTGAGGTCTGGAGGTCTGACTGGCTGGCATTTAAACCACTCACTGAGACTCCTTGCCTCATTAGGGTCTGTCCTGTTGATCTCCTGGCATCGATCTCTGGATTACCCAGCACAGAGAGAGGGTCTCCATAAGTATTTATGCAGTAAATGAAGGAACTGATAAAACCAGACCCCTCTGGCTTTGCTGTAGATAAAGATGAAAGCCACTAGCAGATAACTAAATCGTAGTTCCATATAAAAGTCAAGCCAGGGTAGGGATAGTTCCCAGGACAGGCTAAGGAATTCTTGGACCTTGTGCCTGGTACTTTTCACATATGTCGTTAAGAGCATTCTCCATTGGCTTCTAAGTTTGCACTGTTTTGGATTGTTCTGATGACAGGTATGTTTTCTTCCCAGCTAAAGGGAGGCAGTGAGGCCCAGAGCAAAGGTCTTAGATGCCAGCCACACAGTTGCAGTTTCTGGCCACCAGCTATGTACCCTTTCTTAGCCAGCCATCTAAAATCACAGTGTCTTTAGTTGTTCAGTAGGCTAATAATAAAAATATCTCAAAGGGTCATTGGAAAAATAGCTACATATAAAAATTTACCCGATGCTTGGCATATTTTTGTTACTCTGGTAAGGCATTTCAGTGATGTGGGCACAAATGACTAAACTGTGTTGGTGCTGTTGAGTTGCCCAAGTGTTACCAGCTAGAGCATTGCTCAATATGCCAGCGCGGTGGATTTGAAAATAAAACACAGGACAAAACCTCCTTATGCGGGGAGCAGCACCCACTGGCTACTCTGGCTTTTTCTACTCTGAATCCACAGCTGCTTCCCATCAAGGCCAAGCTTCCTTGAGCTGTTCCTAGGGGGCTAGGGACACAATGGAGCCACTGTTGTAGGACCATTCCTGCCAGGGTATGGGGTGTCTTTAGCAGATGACTTTGGTTCGTGGATGTTCTATGTGCCTGATGGGAAATTCTGTGTTCCATGTGCCTGATGGGAAATTCTGTGAAATGGTACTGTGGGGTCTGAAGCTCCTCTTCTCCAGACTCCCTTCTACTCTCCTTCCAACTTTTTGTGATACTTAGAGCATAGAATTGATTCTTTCTCTGCCATGCATAAACCAAACTGTGTGGGTTCTAAGCTTTTACTGCACTTGTATATAGTTACAATGTGATCTTCCGATCACAGCCTCCCAAGGACAAGCCAGACCTCCCCAGTCAGGAGAGACCACTAGTTAGGCTATGATTCACTAGTCTGGATCTTGAGTTTCAAGGTTGTCCTTATTCAGGACAATCCTTAGTAGATCTGTCTTTAATATGCTGTCATGATTTTCTTTAACATTTGCGAACCAACAGTTTCTCCTGTCGTTATAAAAAGGAAGAAAACTGGCCACTCTCCAGTGTGGATATAATGTCATCCATGTTCTGATTTCTTTGTTTTCCTTCTTCATTCCATCAAGCTGTCACTTGATTATTGTCTTTGTGACAGACCAGGTCCAGGGAACAGTCACCATCCGGAATATCAGTGCCCTGTCTTCGGGTCTGTACCAGTGTGTGGCTTCTAACGCCATCGGGACGAGTACCTGTCTCCTGGATCTTCAGGTGATCTCACGTAAGTACATAACTCAAGATGCAGATGTCCAGACCTTGGTTAAGTCACAAAATGCAGAGTTCTTTATAAGTGTTCTGAGATTATGTGTAGAGTAAACAAATTCTTTTAAATCATTGTTGAAAATATTTTATAAAAATTTTACTATTTAAGCCTCCCTTATATGCCGATCCTGTGACAGAGTCTTCTCAGGACCATCAAAACCAAACTAATCTTCATGTCATGGCGCTGTGGACATGACGTTAGTCTGCAGTCACAGTAGTATGCAGTCTCGTGATACTCCTTTGCTTTCCTTCCTAATCTCTTGGGTCTTCTGGGTGTTCAGTTATCAAAAGCAGTTTGGAACACTTCTTTTCGGTAGGGGAAATCTAGATGATTTTTTATTTTGGTTGTGGAAGGGCATCATGTGACTTCGATGAGGCCATAAACAATCTGAGGTCCAAAGCTCTCTGGGACACTAAGGCAGTTGAGTAGGCTCTGTCTCCTGCCCTGTTCCAGCTGCGCTCTTCTGGGGCCTTGGGAGGTGGTGGTGGTTTACTTGTCCAACATTGCTGCAAGCCTACTGGGAATGCCAAAGGTTAGTCAAGATCTGATTTCATGTGGATGGGATGCTTTGGGCAGCTTTGTACATTTTAAACAGACTTATTTGTGTGAATATAGCTGTATGGCATGCACTATTTCTCTCTTGTTTATTTAATCTCCCTTAAATCTGTTTTGCAGCCCAGCCCCGAAGTGTTGGAGTCATCGCTGGAGCTGTCGGCACCGGGGTAGTCCTCATCATTATTTGTATTGCACTAATTTCAGGGGCATTCTTTTACTGGAGAAGCAAAAATAAAGAGGAGGAGGAGGAAGATATCCCCAATGAAATCAGGTTAGTCTGTCAGATTGCTGATCCTGCAGAGACCGTGTGTGTTTCTCTTCATTGTGGAGTCAAGGTTTCTTGGCCAGTCTTACAGTTCTATGGTCAAGGTAATGCTAATGTCTAAATGCCATTTTCTTGTTATGTTTATTACTTTTCCTCATGGTCATACTCACTTTTATACACGAAGATCCTTCATGAATCTAAGTAGGATGAAGAGCTCCCCTGTGCCCCCACAGCTGCGGGGTAGACCATGAATGTCACACCAGAACAGTCAGCCTGTAAGACCTGTGTTTCATGTTGGCCGCTCTAATAGATGGGAACATGTAGAGGCAAAGGGGTTGACCACAAACATACCAGTTTCTCTACCTAGTTAAGTACTGCTCTGTGGCCTGCTATGAAGGAGCATATTAATCATATTCAACATGATAATAATATACACCAGGCATCGTGCATTATGTAAAAACGCTTGGATGCTTCTGGAGGAGCTATGTCTAAGGGTTGTCACCTGGTGGTGGCTTCCTGCCTGAATCACAAGGCAGCACAGCATCACACACAGAGAGATGGGAGGTATGTATCTGTTAGCCCTTTCTTTTCTTACAAAGCGGCTTGGATCCAGTCATTGTGCCCTATCCTGCTGGCTTTACCTAGTCCTAAACACCAGCCAGAGCTCCTGCTTCTCAATGCCATAGCTGGTTACATTCCCACCTCAAAAAGTACCCCTCAATGGAGAACAATTTTCAACCCTTAATTTCTTAATGGACTTCCCAAGACATAAAAAATATAACAGGCAGTTTATAAAAGAATAAAAATGTTTTAAGGAAAAAAATGTCAAGATGGTGTTTAAAGCTTGGTGTTTAGCTCCTGGGATGTGGGGGTCCAGACTGTCTCAGACTTGACTACATCATATCCCTGTTGATATGCTTTAATGATCCAGGTCTTCTCAGTTTTCCTGAATTTGTTCCCGTTCCTTCTCTGGTCTTCCTCTCTGCTGCCAGCTCTCCTTGTTCACCTCCTGTAGCCTATCAGCACACCACAGTGGTTCTTCAAATTCTGTTAGCAGTACAGTCTAGACAGCATAAATGACTTTTTCAACTTCTTGATGTCCTTAGTTTGCTCACCTGGGTGTTTTATAACAACTAATTCAGTGGGTTTCTTTGTAGGTTGTCTTCTTCATAGTTAAGAGATGTGTGTGTGTGTTTATGTATTTGTAGACATGTGTTTCCATTATATATAACTTTATTTTTGTTTCATTTCAGAGAGGATGATCTTCCACCTAAATGCTCTTCTGCCAAAGCATTTCACACAGAGATATCCTCCTCGGAAAATAACACCTTGACCTCTTCCAATACCTACAACAGTCGATACTGGAACAACAATCCCAAAGCCCACAGAAACACGGAATCGTTCAACCACTTCAGTGACTTACGCCAGTCTTTCTCTGGCAATGCCGTTATCCCCTCCATCTATGCAAATGGGAGCCATCTGGTCTCTGGCCCACATAAGACCCTGGTAGTGACAGCCAACAGAGAGTCCTCACCCCAGGTCATGCCCAGGAACAATGGTTCAGTCAGCAGGAAGCCTTGGCCTCAGCACACACACTCCTACACTGTCAGCCAAGTGACTCTGGAGCGCATCGGTGCAGTACCTGTCATGGTGCCTGCCCAGAGTCGGGCGGGATCCCTGGTGTAGGATATTTGAGGATGCTGTGTGCAGAAGAGAGAAAATGGAATGCCTCCCGACAAGGGGGAGAGCAGGGGTGGGCGAGTGCTGGAAAGATAGACTTTTGTTACCATTACTTTAGTGGAAAGCACCAAGAAGACGGTGCTCTTGCCTGGCCACTGCAGTGTGTGAAGTGACCGAGAATATTCCGTCATGAAGACTCAAGAAGACTGTTCTTCACCACAGTTGTCCTGGGATTCAGTTAAAAAAAACAAAAAACAAAACAAAAACAAACTGCTGCATCTCGAATGACGTGCCAAGCCAAGGAGAATGCTAGAGGCAGAATAGCGCTTACGACCCAAACTGTGGTCCAGGTGGACCTGTTCTTTAATTCTTGCCTAACTTAATAATTTTCAGGAGACTTAAGTGCCAGGTGGAGTTTAAATAATAAGATTATTTTTTAAAATATGTATATTTACAAAACAAACATGAGCAAGCTTGTGGCCTGTTCTGCCTCTCCCATTCCCCTTTAATGGCGAGGCCTTAATGGTACTAGCGATGCATTCCAACTGGGCTGGCTCTTTATCATAAAGGTGAAACTTTGTACAAAACAAAATTTGGCTAGAAATGGGGGAAAATAAGGAAACTTCTTGTGAACACCCCCACACTCTTATTTATTTACCTCTTCCTGAACCGTGATCTTCCGTATTTGGGATTTTGCTGTGTTGACAAATTCTTGTCTGTGTTTCTCTGGGATCTCTTACAGGTCCATGGCAATTACTGTTCATGATTTCCTAAAAAAAAAAAAAAAAAATATTTTTTTAAAAGAAAACTATTTTTTTTAAATACTTGAAAGACAGTGAACTAGGAAGGCATGAACTTAACACCTTGTCCAGTGATTGTGCTCAGTGGCTCAGCAGAAACCTGTCACGGTTCCGGGAGATGAGGGGGCTGTCTGGAAAACAAGGGGGAGGCAGGTGGGAGGGGCCTCTGCGTTGCTAGCAGGGCCCCAAAGAAGCAAGATTGTGCCTGTCAACCCTGCTGCCACACCAGTCACTTGTAATGTGGGCAGCACCTGATGTCTTTTGTACCGAGGAGGATGACTCCCTCTTGTTTGACAAGTAGAGGTTAGTAGGCTGTTGCAGAAAGGGCAGGAGTTGGTTTGTTTCTTTCAAAATAATTCCCCCCCCCCCTTTTTTTTTTTTTTTTTTGCAGAAGAATAATGAGGGTTAGATAAACGGGCGATCGCCCAGTGTGCTCTTGGGGTTTGTTAAGCATCTGAAAATGTGCGTGTGCAGTTTTGCCTGAATGCATTGCACACCCGTGTAAAAATACACCTTCCCCATTTTTTTTTCCTTTTTTGGCTCATTCCTTGGCTTGCTAGCCTTGCAATTGACCAGATTCATTTATGGACTCTCTGCTCTGTATTGTGCTGTACTTGTATGGTTGACTATCTTGCCTTAACTACACTTTAGGCAACTCATGGTGATTTCTTCCAAGCCTTTTTTTTTTTTAATTGTTTGTACTGAGCCCACAATTTTCAAAGAATCTATCTCTTTTCTTCTTCTTCCGTTCCCTCTGTCCCTCTTCCACCAGTCTTCTTGCCTTCTTTGCCTATGGGCATAGTCTGCACGGGGAGTGGCCCCTGACTTCACATTTGAGTGAGTGGAAACCTCCAGTGATTCTCCACTGTTTTTACGAGAGGGGCACACTCAGAACACTATTGTGACCATTTCAGTGTTGATAGATGAATTTATTATAGTGTTACTCTTTCTTCCCCATTTGATGATTCTTGACTTTGTAAAAATTTAAATACGTGAATGTCTATACTTTTTAAAGAAAAGCGAAAATACCATGCCACAGAAGAGATAATACTATCAGATGCTGTTTAGGAAGCATTTATCTTGCATTTCTTTATTCTTTCTAATTACCTAAAATTCAATAAAAGTTTATTCATATAAAATGTGTTGTGGTTAATTGTCATGATAGTAATGGTTAGTATCCCTTGGTGTTATATGCATTTCTCTGTTCTGTTAAATAATATCCATAGACATTTTAATGGCCATATGGTATTTTTAAAATGACTTAACTTTTCTTATATTGGACGTTTAAGTGAATTCTAGTTGTCCTCATAGGGCTGTGTATGTAATGACCCTTTTTGACCATCTAGCTTTTTCCATATTGTTAATCTGAAAGTTCCAGAAAATAGGTGTTACCTATAACCCCCACTTGCCCAAGGACCAGATAACTTCCTGGGATTCTAGGAATTATAGTTCTTAAAAGATAACACCTGCCCAAGGGCCAAGTAACTTCCTGAGATTCTGGGAGTTGGAGATCTTGGAAAATGACAACCAAGCCTCATGGGAAAGTATGGTAGCCTATGGAGTTTGCCTGTCTGAACTCCACCAGCACGTGTCTCAAGGCCTCAGAATTTCCAGGTGATGTCCTGGCCTAAATTCCATCTTGGTCAGTATTTAATATTTTTAATAAAAGCTTACATAAATTGGGTCAAAATGGTGGACCTGTTTTTTTTCTGGCAAAATTCAGGATTAGCACAGGATTCTGGCTGTTCTTGCTACTGAATCCTCCACCACCTACCAAGTGAGTATTGTGAGCATTGCATCAATAAATGACTGAGGGTTTCTGAGCTGAAATTGACGAATCAAACTAGGAGCGTGATTGAATAGTGATTTTGATATATATCGGAACACATTTTTCTGAAATAAATATGAGACTTCGTTTTCTGGTTGTATATTGAGATAATAACACTACATTTGCGGGCAGATGTAAGGAATATAGAAACCACAAGTTCCTTTGATTTCTCTGCCCAGAGGCGTCTTGAGTAGCTATGATATATCACAAATGAACATTAATAAGCTCACTGCACTTTCATTCAGTTTGGGTATATACTAATGTACGTACTTTTAATTTTTGAGGTAGGGTCTCACTGTATAGTCTGGTTGGTCTTGAACTTGTGATCTTTCCGTGTCTGACTCTCAAGTGTTGGGATTACAGGCTTGCTCCATCCAACCTGCCTCTAGTTATATACAATTTATCATGTAGATTCATTTGACCATCAAAACAGCTAAGACATAAAATTCTATGTGCTGCTCTTTCATAGTTAGAGCCATATCCCTGTTCTCAGACCCCTGATATTTGAAAAACTACTGTCCTGTGTTCCATCTCTGCCATTTTGTCACTTTGATAATATTGTACAAATGGAATAAAGTATGCCACTTTTAGGAATTGACTTTTTCTCAGGACCATCCATGTTCTTGCATATATGAGTAATTTGTCCCATATTATTGCTGAGTAACAGCCAATGGTACTAAGATACCCCAGTTCACTTAACAACTTATCCATTGAAAGATGGAAAAGACATTTGGGTTATTTCTACATTTGTATATCGTGGAAAAAGTCTGCAAGTTTTATATGCAGATTTTCATATGACCCTAAGTTCTATCTCTGAAGAAAATGGGGAGTGCAGTTGCTGGCTTGCGTGCTGTAAACACATGCTTGGTTTTGCAAAAAGAATGCATTCATATTCTTCCAGAGTAAACAGTCATGCATTTCTTCTAGCAAAATGGAGAATCCAGTTCTCTGCATCTACTACACATCTGGGTATTATTGACAGTTTTAGTGTTAGCCATGTTGGTGGGTATTTATTGCTATCCCACAGTGGTTCCATGATTTTAACTCTACATTCCAGTGTCTAATGATCCTGGTTGTGAATATATTTTCATGTGCTTGTCATCCCTATATATTCTTCAGGGAAATGTCTGCTATTCTGTCTGTTTTGGGAGTGCTTTGTTTTCTATTGTATATGAAAGGTTTTTGTTGATATTTGCAGTTTCTCAAAATCTGTAGGTTATATTTTAATTCTTCACAGAACCTTTCACAGAGCAAGTTTTAAGTATAATAGGGTCCTACTGGGTGCAGCACCTGTGCCCTGTATTACCAGCTACTCCAGTGTCTAAGGCATGAGGATTGTGAGCTCTCAGACCAGGTCGGGCAGACACATTCTTTCTTATTTTTGCCAAAATTCAGAGAAGTGATTTAAGCAATGTAAGAACCTACTAAAACCAAAATTATATAAAGTCCAAATGATCAGTGTTTCTTTTTTCACTTTTAGTTATACATAATTATTTTTGTATTACAAATGGTTTTTATTTCTTTTTTATTGTTTTTATTGAGCTATATATTTTTCTCTGTTTTCCTCCATTCCTCTCCCTCCCTTCCTCTCCCCTCCCCTTCTACCCTCTCCCTTGGTCCCCATGCTCCCAGTTTACTCAGGAGATCTTGTCTTTTTCTACTTCCCATGTAGATTAGATCCATGTATGTCTCTCTTAGGGTCTTCATTGTTGTATATGTTCTCGGGATTGTGAATTGTAGGCTGTTTTTTTTTTGCTTTATGTATAAAAGTCACTTATGAGTGAATACATATGATATTTGTCTTTCTGGGTCTGGTTACCTCACTTGATATGATGTTTTCTAGATCCATCCATTTACCCACAAATTTCAAGATGTCATTTTTTTTCTGCTGTGTATTACTCCATTGTATAAATGTACCACATTTTCCTTATCCATTCTTAAGTTGAGGGACATTTAGGTTGTTTCTAGGTTCTGGCTATGACAAACAGTGCTGTTATGAACATAGTTGAGCACATATCCTTGTGGTACAATTGCGCATCCTTTGAGTATATACTGAAAAGTGGTATTGCTGGGTCTTGAGGAAGGCTGTTTCCTAATTTTCTGAGAAATCGCCATAGTGATATCCAAAGGGCTGTACCAATTTGTACTACCACTAGCAATGGAGGACTGTTTTCTTTTTTTTT